GTCCCCCCCCCCCGCTCTCCCCCTCCCCCTCCGTCCCCTTCTCCCCCTCTCCCCCTCCCCTCTCCGCCCCCTTTCCTCTCTCCTTCTCCCCTTCTCCCCCTCTCCCCGTCCCCTCTCCCCCCCCCACCCCGCCGCCCCCCACTCCCCTTCCTCCCCTCGCCCCCCCCCGCTCAGCCTCCCCTCCCCCGTTCCCTCGCCCCTCCGAGCGACGCGAGGAGGCGGGCTGCGCCTCCCTTCGCCCACTGCTGGTCTGGACAGCTCGAGTACCCCTCGGTCGTTGAAAGTAGGGATTTTTGGATTCCCAGATTCCAATCTACTTTCAGCGCCTTCCTACTTCAAGAGTCGAGTGGTTTTCCCTCTCCCCTCCTCTTCAGGAGGCGGGGCGGAAACCCGATCTATTTCCAACGCCTTCCTACTTCATGTTTCTACCCACTTCTTCCGACCGATGGGTAAGGGATCGACTGCAGAATTTATGCACCCTAGGTCGTTTCGTCAAATCTGCGAACGATGCGTAGGATGCTCCGCATCTTCTACGCATTTCTTCAAACTTCGACGAGAACAAGAAGCAATGCTGGGGAACCTCAGCTCTGTAGTCGGAGGGCAGCTCGGCGGTGTCTTGGGGCCTGATGGAGGCCTGTTGGCCTCTTGGGACCCACTGGGCGCTACTCAGCTTGAGGCCATGTGCCATCTTGGCGGCCTCAGTGGCTCTCCCCTGCCGTGCTGGAAGCCCTGGATTTCCTCCTCCTCCTCCTCCTCCTCCTCCTCCTCCTCCTCCTCCTCCTCCCCCTCCTCCTTCTCCTCCTCCTCCTTCTCCTCCTCCTCCTCCTCCTCCTCCTCCCTCCTCCTCCTCCTCCCTCCCCTTCCCTCCCCCCTCCAGACGGCCGCGTTCGTGTCTCGACGCGCGCTCGCGTATCCCCCTCTGGGCCCCGTCGTTGCCAGATGGGCACGCGGCGGTGGGCCCGTTCTTCTAGCTCCCCGCCCCCCACCCCTGGGGGGGGCACGTCCTCGGGAGAGCGGCAGGGCCGCGCACTCGCAAACCTCGGCTGGACGCAAGAGTGGCCCCGGGCAACAGTGACCTCTGGTGCGCGGCTTCTGGGGGGCGCGAGGGGGCCAAAAGGCCAAGCGCGCAGGCCGCTGCTGTCGCATCGTGCACATCGATCGAGGGGGGCCCGAGGAGCCCGCACGAAGTGTCACTCCGGCGAAGGGTCACTCCTACAGTCGAAGCCCCCCTTCTCCTCCACTCCCCCCCAAGCCCTTGCGTTGCCCGCCTTCGCCCCTGCGAACAGCGCCACCGCTGAGACTCCCAGATCTAGCCTGCTACTAGTATGTGCCTTTGCCGCTCCCCCCTGCTCCCCCTCCTCCTCCCCCCTCCTCCTCTTCCTCCTCCTCCTCCTCCTCCTCCTCCTCACCCCTGGCGCTAATACGTCTCCCCCCCTCCCCCCCCCGCGAGGAGACTCCGGGCTGTGAGGCCGTGGGCTCGGCCGTCTCGAGGCGCGGCCTGGTTCGCTCCCCCTCCCGCGTCCCGTTTTGGGGGGCCCCCGTCCTGCGGACGCGGAGCGCCGTCTGGGCGCGAGCGGTGGCGGCGCGTCCGCGTCTCACCTTCGTCGTCCTTCGTCGTCCTTCGTCGTCATCGTCGTCGTCGTCGTCGTTGTCGTCGTCGTTGTCGTCGTCGTCGTCGTCGTCGTCGTCGTCGTCGTCGTCCGGGGATCGAGGGTGAGAGTGCGAGGATCGAAGGGGTCTCGCGTTTCTGGCCCTTTTGGGGGCTCCCGGGACCTCCTGAGTGCCTCCGGACGACGTCGGACGACGTCGGCCGTTTTCGGTCGTCGTGGGTCGTCATCGGTCGTCGGTCGGTGGTCGGTGGTCAGTGGTCGGTCGTCGGTCGTTGGTCGTTGGTCGTTGTTGTCGTCGTCGTCATCGCGGTGGCCACCAGGCGGGCCTCCGCAGGAAAGGAGGGAGGCTTTTGTACGAGGAGATCCTGGCGGGGCTGTGGCACCTCTGTCCTGGCGCCCCCCTTGACCAGGGGGCCCCCGTAGAGCACCTTGCCCGCCGGCCACGCTTCGGCCTCCCGCGGGTTGGATCTTCCAGCTGACAGGAGCTTGGCATCGCTCGGACGTGTGCATGTTCTTTCGGCGAGGATCATCGAGGAGCATTCTGGATTATCTGGGAGAAACAAGGACGCACGAAATGAGCAAAAGCATGGGGAGTGGACGTCCGAGCGATGGCAAGAGAGTTGGGGGGAGGGGAGGAGGCGAGGAGGAGCGCAGCGGCGGGGTAGAGCGGTGTTGACGGCAGCGGTCCGGATTGCCACAGCCGGCCACCAAGTCCTCCGAGCCTGAGGTGTCGCTGGGGCCGCAGACGCCCAGGACAGTGGTTTTGGCGGCGCGTGTGCGGCGGAGGCAGTAAAGCGGTGTTGGCGGGGCGGCTTGGATTGCCACAGCTAACATCGTTGTTCGGTTGCGGGTGGGTCGCGGGTGGGTCGCGGGTGGGTTGTGGGGTGGGTGTGGGGTGTTGGTCGCGGGTGGGTTCGCGGTGGGTCGCGGGTGGGTCGCGGGTGGGTCGCGGGTGGGTCGCGGGTGGGTCCGCGGGTGGGTCGCGCGGGTGTTGGTCGCGGGTGGGTCGCGGGTGGGTCGCGGGTGGGTCGCGGGGTGGTCGCGGGTGGGTCGCGGGGTGGGTCGCGGGATGGGTCGCGGGGTCGCGGGTGGGTCACGAGGGGTTCGCGGGGTTCGCGGATGGGTCGCGGGGTGGGTCGCGGGATGGGTCGCAATTGGTCGCGGGGTGGGTCGCGGGTGGGTCGCGGATGGGTCGCAGGATGGGTGGGTCGCGCGGGTGGGTCGCGCGTGGGTCGCGGGGGTCGCGGGTGGTCGTGGTCGCGGGGTGGGTTGCGGGGGGGGGTCGCGGATGGGTAGCGGGGGGGTTGCGGGGTGGGTCGCGGTGGGTCGCGGGACGTGTCGCGGGTTGGTCGCGGACGCGTCGGGCGGTGGGTCGGGGTCGTCGCGTCGTGGGTCGGCGGGGTGGGTCGCGGGGTGGGTCGCGGGGCGGGTCGCACGTTGGTCGCGGGGTGGGTCGCGGGTGGGTCGCGGGTGGGTCGCGGGGTTGGTCGCGGGTGGGTCGCGGGGTGGGTCGCGGGTGGGTCGCGGGTGGGTCGCGGGGAGGTTCGCGGGTGGGTCGCAGGTGGGTCGCGGGTGGGTCGCGGGTTGGGTCGCGGGTGGGTCGCGGGGTGGGTCGCGGGTGGGTCGCGGGGTGGGTCGCGGTCGCGGGTTGTGTCGCGGGGTGGGTCGCGGACGGGACGACGACGACGACGACGACAAACAACAACCACAACAACAACAACAACACCACCACCAACAACAACAACAACAACAACATCAACAACACAAACAACAACAACAGCAACAACCACACCAAGAACAACACTAACAGCAGCAACAACAATAACAACACTAATAACAACAGCAACAACACCAGCAACACCAACAGCAACAACATCAGCAGCAACAACAACCACAACAACACCGCCACCAACAACAGCACCAACAACACTAACAACACACGCAACACTAACAACAACACCAACACCAACACAAACAACAACAACGCAACCATCATACTCCCCACCACGGATCCCCACTTCAGCCACGCACCCATGGACAATGAAAGATCGTTCGCCCCCTCGCTCTGATATGTGTAGATGTATATGTATATATCAAAGTGTCTGTGTATCGAAAGGTTTATATATGCATCGATCGATATATCCACCTACCTACCTATCTACCTACCTACCTACCTACCTACCTATCTGCCGACCTACCTATATCCTAACATGTATGTATGTATGTATGTATGTATGTATGCATGCATGCATGCATGTATGTATGTATATATGTATGTATGTATGTAGGTATATATGCATGTATGTATGTATGTATGTATGTATGTATGTAGGTAGGTAGGTAGGTAGGTAGGTAGGTAGGTAGGTAGGTAGGTATGTATGTATGTATATATATAGACGTATATCTCTCTCTGTATATACACATTCATATACCCTTTCTTTAACGGTATATATCGATCGATCTATCTGTCGACGTACCTACCATTATGAATATAGTATGGCCTTCGGCCCATCCCGCCACCGTGCCTGGGTTGTGGGCCATCGGCCTCTAGGATGTTCGTTGGGATGTCGCAGGGGGCCTCTCGGGGGCCTCGTGGGGGCAGTTTTGAAGCCTCTTGCGGGCCGTTTTGGGGCCTCTTGGGGCCTCTTGGGGCGTCTTGGCGGCCTTCCTCCTGGGGGCTCCGTGGGGCCTCTTTGAGGCCTCTTAGGGCCTCTTGGGGGGCATCTTGGGACGGAGGGCTCGACTTGTCGGTTCGGGCTCCCACTCTTGGGCCCCTCTTGGGGCCGTCTTGGGGTTTTCTTGGGCCCTCTTGGGGGCCTCTTGGCCCGTCTTGGGGCTGTTTTGGAGGGCCTTTTGGGCCGTCTCGGAGCGTCGGAAGCTCGAACAGTCAATACCTCCTACAACATTTACAAACCGAAAGAACACGAATGATGTTAGCATCTTGGGGGCCTCTTGGGAAGGTTCTCGGGGCTCTCTATGGGGAGTCTCGAAGGCTTCGTGGGCCGTCTCGGGCTCATCTTGGGCATCTTGGACCGATCGTTTGTGGATTCGGGGGTAGTCTTGGACAGACTGGGCGGCCTCCTGGGGCCCTCTTGGTTCGTGTTGGAGCCTCAAAGGCTCCGGAAAAGTCATGCGACAAGACGCGGGTGAGCCCAGGAAACGCTTCGGGAGCCCACGACGATTTGATAATTCGGGGTCCAGGCTCCTTAATGGATCCCCAGGATCGAGGACTGAGGCTTAGAGCTTGAGCAAGGGACCTGGGGACACCCCACTTCCTGTCAAGGGGGTGCGGTGGTGGATATATGCAGATATACATATATACACATTCATACACACATGTGTATAGATGTAGGTACAACGTATATGACACATGCAAATACACCCGCATAC